GACCTTCTTATTAAAATGTCTAGCCATACGAGTTTGATAGCACTGAGTGTGATGTAAAGCTTCTAGTCGTTTTTCGTCGAGTAGGATCAATTCTTCATATCGTGCCCTAGTCCATTCGACTTCATCAAGTTTACTCTCTAGCGCAATGCGTAGAGATGGTATTTCTAGTTCGACAGGTTGTACGGCATCCATTCCATATACCAAAGAAAATGGTGTATTTCCTGTTGACGTACGAATTGACGTGCGATAACCCCACAGTGCAAAGTGGAGCTTGTCAGGCCAATCCTTATAATTTTCTGTCATTTTCTCTATGATAGTCTTTAAATTCTTATTAGCTGCCTCGACTGCTCCGTTTGCTTGAGGTCAATAAGGGGACGAATGATGATGTTGGATACCATATTTATGTAGTAATTCTTCACATTCGGCTTGAAAGTGAGTTCCATTGTCACTTATCATTTCATGTGGGACTCCATATCGACAAATGATATTTCTCTCGATAAAGAGTGCTACATGTTTTGCAGTGAGTTTAGCGCATGATTGCGCTTCGACCCATTTTGTAAAGTAATCAATTGCTACTAGAATAAATTCGTGGCCTCCTGTCCCTGGGGGAGTGATCTTGCCAATTATATCAATTCCCCATGTAGAGAATGGCCATGGTGATGTGTAGGTGTAGAGCAAAGATGGAGGAACGTGTTGTAAATTGACATAAATTTGACACTTAGGACATCTTTTCACATATTGATGGCAGTCCCTATTCATGGTAGTCCAATAATACCCTTCTCGCATTATTTTCTAGACTAACATTTTGCCATTTACATGAGTTCCAAAGATTCCTTCATGGACCATTCTCATTATTCTTTGTGCATCCACCTTTCCTACGCATAGGAGAGCTCGACCTTTAGGTACCCTTTTATGTAGCTCGTTGTCTATGAGCACATATTGAGAAGCCAAAAGTCTCAAGGCTCGTTTTGCTCTTTTGTCAGCATGAGGAGGGTATTCTCCGTTGGTGACATAGTCAGGAATGTCTGTGTACCATGGTTCTTCTTCTTGTTCTTCATCTTCTTCTTGTACTGGGTCGTCGTCTTCTATAGCCTGTATGTATGCTGGTTTGTGCCTTTTTTCGATAGTTAGAGGCATTTGCTCGATATCCGTAGGAATCCTATTCATTGAGGCTAATCTTGCCAAGGCATCAGCAAATTGGTTTTCTTCTCTAGGTAGATATGTGTATTCTACCTTCTCTAACTGGTCGGTAAGAGTTTCCAGATAAGTTTGGTAAGGGGCTAGGCTTTCGCTCCTTACTTTCCACCTTTTAGAAATTTGATTGATAATCAGAGAGGAATCTCCGAATATCCTTAACTTCTTTACACCCAATGCCAGGGCTGTTTCAAGGCCTACCACACATGCTTCATATTCAGCAGCATTGTTGGTAACGTCGAAGTCAAGCTTTATTGATATTGGGACGTGTTCTTCTTTGGGTGATACTAGCACTCCGACGCCACATCCTTTTTGGTTTGAGGCTCCGTCGAAATACAAGGTCCAAGTATCGTCTTCGGTGACCATCAAATCTTCATCTGGAAATTCATTGTCCTGTATTGGTGTCGAGTCTTCTATTGGAAAATCTGCCAGAAAGTCTGACACCACGGATCCTTTAATAGCTTTTTGTGGCATAAACCGCACATCGAACTGAGCTAAGTTGACTATCCGTCTTGAAATTCGTCCATTGAGTGTTGATTTCTCGAACAAGTATTTGAGTGGATCTAATCGGGATACTACGAAAACGGTATGCACCAACATGTAATGTCTCAACTTAGTTGTGGCCTACACCAAAGCGAGGCATAATTTCTCGAGTGGTGTATAGCGTGTTTCGTATTCGAGCATCTTCTTACTTAAGTAATAGATTGCATTCTCTTTGTGTTCTACCTCTTGTGCGAGCATGGCTCCCATTGTCTCTTTGGTAACCGTCAAATATAGCCTTAGAGGTATTCCGGGAAGTGCTTGCGCTAATACGGGAGGATTTGCGAGGTAGGCTTTGATCCTGTCAAAGGCCTTTTGACACTCATCATCCCATATTACTGGTACATTCTTCTTGAGCTTTTTGAAGATTGGTTCACATATCGTTGTCAGTTTTAATATGAACCTACTTATGTATTGCAACCGGCCAATAAATCCTCGAATATGTTTCTCGGTCTTAGGCGGTGGCATCGACATGATTGCTTTGATCTTGGTTGGATCTATCTCTATTCCTCTAGAGCTTATGACATATCCCAAGAGTTTGCCTGAGGTGACTCCAAAAGCACATTTTGATGGAATCAACCTCATATTATATTTTCTTAGCCTTTCGAAAAATTTCCTTAAGGCTACTTGATGGCCTGGACGGTCCTTTGATTTCACAATCATGTCGTCGACATATACTTCAACTTCTTTGTGCATCATGTCATGGAGTAAGGCAGTTGTTGCACGTTGGTAAGTAGCACCTGCGTTTTTCAACCCAAATGGCATTACCGTGTAACAGTAAGTGCCCCACGGTGTGATAAAGGTCGTTTTCTCCATGTCTTCTTCCGCCATGAGAATCTGATTGTACCCTGCATATCCGTCCATGAATGAGAGAAGTGCGTGATTTTCCGTGTTGTCTACAAGAATATCGATGTGTGGCAAAGGGAAGTCGTCCTTTGGACTTGCCTTATTTAGATCTCGATAGTCGACACACTTCCTTACCCTTCCGTCTTTCTATGGAACTGGGACGACGTTGGCGACCCATTCGGGGTATTTGGATACCTTGATGAAACCTGCAGTTATTTGTTTTTGAACTTCTTCTTTTATTTTAAGTGCTACATCGGGTTTCATTCGACGCAACTTTTGTTTTACAGGTTTCATTCCTAGAATTAATGGTATAGTGTGTTGAGCTATTTCTCTGTTAATGCCTGGCATATCTTCATATGACCAAGCAAATACATCGATAAATTCTTTAAGTTAAATCGGTTCTTTCTTGTTTATTCAATGTTAATCCGATTTTAACTTCTCTTTTATGAGTTGAATCATTCGAGATGTCAACTGTTTCAGTCTCTTCAATTACTGGTGTTTTCTTTTCAAGTGTTTCCATTGCTTTAATAATTTCTTTATCTTTTTCATCGTTAGCTAAGCAATGTTCGTCATCTTGGGTTAGGGAAGAACACGAGAAGTAAGGGGAATGAGAGATATTATTATACTCTGAGATCATTACATCAAAGAGTGATATGTCCTCAGGGACTGGATCACTAACTATCCTAGGAGAAGAAATAGGAAGGGGAGGCATTATAGCTAAAGACTTAGAAGATTCTAAAGGGAAAGACTCTGACTCAGACTCTGACTCTGACTCTGATGATTCTTCAAACATCGGCCCTTGCCCTGTCGTGATCGATATCTTTCTTCCACTCAGAGTAGTCACCTTGATAGTCTTGCGCCACCCTTGCAATGATCCTTCAGCTGGAGTAATTAGCTTCGAAGGATCGAAGTTTTCGCTTTGTAGAACCGTTTGAATGAGTGAGGAGTTATCTTCCTCATAAACTGGCTCATTCTTTTCTCGCCCAAACAGTAATCCCATGACGTTAAAGTCAAAGCATGGGGGTGCTTTCTCTTTATGGACGGGAGTTGGGATTTCGTCAGTGAAATAGCAATCCAAGAAAATCTCGAATCCTGGTTGTCTTATGCCATTTACAACAAATGGTTCGGGAAATTCATGGCATGGATAGTCCTCTCCTTCTTTTATAAACTGACCATTAAGCGTAAGAGGGTACTGATCCATTAGAATTGCTTTCTTTTGAATGCGAGCGTCCCTACGTGCTTTCAACTTGTCCTGGGCTCGCTTGAGATCCTTCCGAGTCGGTTCGAAACCAAGTCCGAAAGTATCTAGTTTAGGGAGGCCAGGTGACTCCACCGATTTTGCTATCCCCTTCTTCTTTCCTAAGGTCATCCCAGGGAAGTGTCCTTGTTTCTTCAGCATGGTGTTGATAATCATATTGGAATGGGGGTCGTGGCAAAGAGATGTCCTTTCATCCTCTTGGATTAAGGAGACTTCTTAGTTAAAGCCCCATAGGTCTTCGTCATCTTCGTCGTGCTCCACGTTGATGATTGGATTTTCTATTGATTTGATCCTCATCGGCGAAGCGTCAATAGTGATTGGAATTCCTCCAACTATGGCTTTCACTTGTTGGTGGAGAGATGAAGGGACGGCCTTTAGATCATGGAGCCAAGGGCGTCCTAACAACAGATAGAATGAGGCTTTGATGTCTACCACTTGAAAAGTAGTAGTATGTTCTATTGCTCCTACCGTCACATTTAGGGTTATTTTGCCAAGAGCTTGACGTCGAGTATTATCGTAAGCTCTTATTTCTTGTGTGGACGGAGTTAAATCCTCATCCTTTATGCCGAGCATCCTTGCAGTCCTAAGTGGGCAGACATTAATGGCCGATCCATTGTCTACGAGAGTCATGGGAACGTTCATTCTTTTGCAGACTACCGTGAGGTTTAACGCCTTGTAGTGTTTGTCACCTTCTGGGGGTAAATCTTTATCAGAGAAGGTGCTTAGATTAATCGGGCTAGGGAGTTCACTCGTGAGGAAGTTAGCTTGTCCCTCAGGAGTGGTGTCAGAATCTATCCCGATTTTATCCAAGGCATTCATCACAGCCAACCTATGTTCTCAATTTTGGGAGTGATGTTGAGGTAACCTTGTTTGAGTTGTTGTATTCAACAAAATTAAGAACTTCTGATGGATTTTCTGTGTTTAGATAATTACCATTTTCATTCCATTCAAAATGTGGCTAAAAAAAGCCTATTACATGAGTACTTGGACTTTCACATCACTGCCTTAGTGGTTTTTGACACTGTAAAACACAAAATACACCTAACCACCTATTCATTTAGATTGCCATGAACAATAACAACAAAAAGAAAAAAATAACCTAACTTCATATGGTTATGTGTGGCAGTATATGCTGTTGTCCTTATTTGAGGAGTACCCTTGTCTAATCTGCATCCACCTCCATTTCCTGTGTTGTTGCTTGAGTCTCATCTGGTGCTGGTATGAACATTGTGTTCAAGTATTCCAAAGCCTCTAGCACTATCTCCTTCTGAACAAACACTTGATTTGGCAGAATACCTAGAATTTCAAGTTTTTTTTTATTCATGTGTGGAATTTTGTACCTATTCCCTCCTTGTGCCTTCAGTATTTTGATCATGCATCTCTGTAGAGTGACCTATATGTACTTGTTGACTTCAGGCTTGAATGTGTTGTATGACTCTATCACCTTCTCAACTAGCTCATCAAGATTTTTAGGGAAAGATTGATATTGTAATGATTGAATAGACCTGAAAAGACCTAAATCCAACACATTTAGATCAGGTGATTGAGCTGGTTGGAACACAAATTGAATGTTAAACCCATTGGATGTTGTTGCTGCAACAAAATCCTCATCTCTTGGTATTTGATGTGGCTTTGCATTATCCCATTGTATGGTAACATTCTTGGGCAGACTTTCTGGCCATTTTTCCTTGATTGCTAGAATGACTTTGTTGAGTAACATGTCCCTAATGACCTCCCTGTTTACATTCTGAAGTGCTCTTGTCACCATTGTTCCTGCTGCTCTGTTCTTGCTTGATTTTTTTTCTCTGTCCTGGACTGTGAATGGGAATATCCCATACTTTCCATCATGTACAAGTTCACCATTTATGCCATACAATGGCTTACCAATAATGGCCATGAACATTGCCTTTAACTTGAATCTTCTTGATTGTTGTGCCATGTATGGATCCTCTTCACTTGGTAGAAGGTAAAACCTCCTTTTATCAGGGTTCAAGTAGAACCATTTCTCATCTATGTGAATGTTGTAACTCATGTCTTCAAAAGTGGGGTCATGATTACCTTCAACAGGGTTTATGTGACTTAAAACCTACTTCATTCTAGCTATCTTGTGATCTGCTGAGAGTGCTGGTTTGCAACTTGCTGTGTGTGTTCTCAACCTTCCCTTTTTCTTCAAATAGTGCAAAGTCACATGTGAAATGTTGAGTGCTGCTGCATATGACCTCTCTGATTGCCTTAAATACAGAGGGACTAATTGTAAGAATTCATCTGTGAATTCTCTTGGTTTTGAACCTGTTTTGCCATACTTTTTTGTCCTGACATCAATCATATTCCCCTCTGCCATCTGTTTTTTTATGTCTGTGAATATTCTTGTGATTGTTGATTTATGCACTCTGAATTTTGTTGAAAGTTGCATTTTGTATCCTCTTGGCAAAGCTCCATCTTGCATCATCATCAACATTGTATCAACAATCTCTCTTCTCTAATACATGGTGAGTTGTTTTCTGTTGGTTGTTGTTGCTTCTTGAGTCTGTTCTTGTTGTTGATCTTCATCATGATGGATGGTCTCTTGTTGAGCTTGCTCATTTGGTGCCTGAGTCCCTTCTGTAGACTCTTCTTGTTGCATGTTTTCATTATCAGAATCATAAAACTCTATGTCTTCATCTTGAATTTGTTCTTCCTCTTCAAAATAAAGTTCTGCCATGAGTTCCTATGTTAGTAATTCTTCGATATCAAACTGCTGAGATTCATCGAAATCTGCCATTTTTTGTTGGGGTCCCTTCCTTTTCCAGGTTGCTGATGATGCTGTAGGGTTGGCAGATGAAGGTTTTTGGCAAAATAAAGCTGCCCTACACTTTTGTGTACATAGAGAACGAGCAACAACACTTGGTTATGGTGGATTCCTCTGTGCAGTACTGATGTAGCCTAGGATGTAACTTTTTGGATTAATGGGGGGCTAATATCTGAATTAGGGTCTAACTTTTGGGGATAAACATTTGGATGACTTTTTAAAAATTGTTGATGGCTGTATTTAATGCTTTGAGTTATCAAAGCTTGGTTGACAATGGGGGCTTCCTTTTATAAGCCTCTTAAATGCTGTTGGATTCTCTATTTATGAGGATGTTCAAGAATTGAATGCTTGGTTTTTTTTTAAAAAAAAGTGGAGGGAATTTTAAACCCTCCCAAATTTACAAAAAGTTTGAAAATTGGCCAAAAAAAAGAGGGAATCTGATTTCCTTCTAAGGGAATCAGATTTTCCCACTAACCCACATGGGGGACCATTTTTTCTCTCTCCTACATATTTGATTAATTCAATCTAAATACACCTTAATCTACCCCATCTATTTTTTGCATTGGCAACCGTGAACTCACTCAAAGTTGCACATAATATTTTTTCTCTCTCCTACATATTTGATTATTTATTGTGTTGCTTGATTATTTATATTTATTGCTTGATCACGCCTTTTATGCATGCTTAAAGGGAATTTGGTACTTGTAATCACGCTTAATAAGATATTAATAATCTTGTTAGGGTTAATATGATTATAAATTCAAGTGATCGCCAATAATAGTTTATTTGTGCATTAAATTCAACCAACATTGATTAAACAGGTTTAGGGTTAATCTATTGATTGCATGTTAATCAGAAAGCGACATGAATACGATCAGAATAAAGTAGAGGCCTATTATTAGGGCAGGTTCAATCTCTTTTAGGTTGAATTTGTACCTTCATCCCCGAACCCTTATTTGGTTCTAGACCTTATGGAGTTGACGATCTCTTGGATCGTTAAGGGGTGTAACATTCATCCTATGAACGGTTTACAAGTTCCTAAAAAAATTTGTTGGCGACTCTTTTGCTCTATCTTCTTCCCTTTTGGACGCCACCGTACTTTTGTGTATGATCACAGTGGGGTTCAAGCTAGTGGGATTAAAGCTTGAAATTTATTCCCTACAGTTTTTGGCGACTCCACTGGGGAGGATTTCTCTTTTAATTCCTGAATTTGTTTCGGCAATGATTTAGAATGAGTGGATGAGACTCGAAAAGTTCTAAGTATTTCATGTGCGTAATTTTGATTAACATTATTGTCATATGCATAAAAAAGATCTCATTGGAAAGACCATCCGTAATGAGTTAAAAACATAGGATTTTAAACGTAGAAAATTTGAGGAATATCTTTCACAACTAGGACTGAAATAACACCGCGCGAAACTGGAAAATTTTATCGAGCACAGAAAGCTGCTGAGGCATGTGGGAAGTAGCGTCATGGGCCAGAGCTTGGCGCCAGCATTTTAGTCGTAGCGCCAGACGCCAGTATTGGCGCCAGGCGCTACAGTTAAAAGCTGGCGCCAGTCTTTGATTGCTGGCGCCAATTTCCCCCAATACCGAGCCAGAAATATGCGTTCTAATTTCGACCAGTTTTTCGTATTGTTTGCTCGATCCTACTTCCTGATTGAATTTTTTCTCACTTTTCTGAAACCCATATGTGTTCTACATATGGACATAACCCTCTGAGAATTCATGCTCCATCTACCCGATTGAACGCTCCGTGCAACAAAGGGTACATCCGAGAATGTTGAATTCACCAAACCATGGAAGCGAGTTTTTTTTTCTAAAACTCGCGGTATCCCATCCACTCGCGCCAACCCTTCATAGTAAGGCTTCCGCGCGGTGCATCCGGACAATTAACCATGGACCCTTTATTGACTAACTCATATCCCGAACTTTAGAGAACTAGAGCCATGGTTAGGTTGCAAACTCATTGCATCATATTGTGCCTACTTGACTACTTGTGCATTATTTGTTGTGCATACTCTATGTGATTTTTCCTAACCGTTTGTTTGACTTGTGTTAAGACTAAATAAACCGATTAATGACTAAAGGACTTTGTTTAATTAATTAATTAGAGCTAATAAATATACCTAAAATCGAGTCATAGTTCCTTTAAGTCAACCCGGATTTTTATTCCCGTATACTGCACAAGCGTCAACTTGTTTTGGTCATAGCTGGAGTTCTAGAAAGAACTACGAGTCGTAAAACCTATGGATCTGTAGCCCCGAGTTTTATCTTTTAATTTGATTTTGGTTTCATCCAAATCAGAGTCACAGATCAAAAGTTATGACTAAAATACCACAGTTTGTCCAGTTTAATGCCTATACGTGAAGTCTTAACTTAGTCTTTGCTTGAGTCTAGTCACATAGTCTAGCCACATGGTCATGACTCGAGTCTTAACATGCCACCTACACTCACTAGTATTAGCACACACTTTGAGTGCACATCACCATGGCCATGTCTTAGGTTCATGCATGAGTCGGTCTTTTCCGTCATTTGAGTTGGGGGGTACATTCTATTCCTAATTCTTATATCCCTCCATCTAAATCTTCTTTCACATTCTATTCCAATTTTTCTTCACTTCCTCCATCCATTGCATGTTGAATAAAGTTTGAGTCAAATAATTAACAATAAATATCCCCAATTTCCTTTTCCACAGTACTTGGTCGAGGAGAGAAGGGAGATTAATCAAGGACAACCTCTTTATTCAGGTCTGGCTTTTTGATAAACCGATTCGTTAGAAGAGGAAGGCTAAAAAGATAATGGCAACTCAAGAAGAAGTCAATGAGCTTAGGAACCAATTGGTTACCATGACTGAAACACTGAAGCTCCTCACACTTAAGGTCGATGATCCCATGAAGCAACAACAGATGGATCTCATGCAAGAGAGTCTAAGCAAGCTATCTAGTGACTATAAATTTCAGGGCATGAGTTCACAAGGGGTCTCGCTGGACAAGGAACTTCTTCCGCATAATTTCAACGCCACTGACATCCCTAAATTCAAGGCAACAGATAACCCTTACTTCCATCTAAGAACTTTTGAAACTATAATGAGTATTAAGGGTATTGATAAGAAGGTTTTCCCCTCTCTGTTCCCACTATCTCTTGAAACCGTTTGCCAACAATGGTTCTTCTCCCTTGACAAGGAAAAAACCTCTACCTGGGAATCGATAGTGAACGCTTTCGTTGATAGGTACAAGTGCAATATCCAAGTTGAAACCGACTATAGACAACTTGAGATGCTAAGACAAAAAGAGAATGAAGGCTTTACTTCTTTCTTTAATAAATGGAGGGAAACTTCCGCCAAGATGATTGAGGTCCCCACCGAAAAGAAGTCTGTGAGGATGTTTATCAAGAATCTCCAAGAAAAGTATTCAAAGCACTTAAAATATCAACACAACTTGAATACTTTCAAGGCCGTTTATGACATCGGAATTGAAATCGAAGACGACCTCGCAAAGCAAAAAGCTACTAACAATAGTAACCACGGTGGCTGGAAAGGAAAGAAGAACAACAATCCTTCTTCTTTTGAAAACGCCCACTCCAGTAATAATGTTAGTACCTTTGACCATAATGGTGTCTTAGCCATAGATAATCAAGGATCTTAAAGGAAACCCAGGCGAGAGTTCACACCCATTGGAATGACCTACGATGTTGCTTTCGATCGTCTCTATGATCGAGGATTAATCAAACCTATTGGCCCTACCGAGGATCCAACACCAGAAAATCGATCTTCGAGATGGAATCCAAACTCCTATTTCAAGTACCATCGAGGGCGCGGTCATACTACTGATGAATGTTACAGGTTTCAAAACCTCATTCAAGATCTCATAGAGGCAAATAAGATCCCATCGCCTCTAGCTAGCGAGAAGACTGGATGATGTCGGAGCAAACAACACAAGACAAGAGGCGAGCTTCAATGACAAGATTTCATGACCTCTTTTTCTATTTCTTTTTCATTTTTTTCTTTCCCCAATAAGTCTAGCATAGGCACCTTTTCTTTTCCTTTAGATTATTTTTGTAGTTTTTCTTTTCTTTTCCCTTTTTAATAAAATGAGAATTTATTTCCTTATATTGCATCAAATATAATAAAAAAAAAAAAGAAAAAAAAATCCATGTCGAATTAAGCACAAGGTATACCAATGATTTGAGGCACCCCTTGTAGCCACATCATATCTCCTTTCGCCTTTCTAATTTACAAATCC